CATAAAAGTAAATATATTATGGTGTTATGAAATAATCTAATTTAATAAGCACAGTCTTCTTCATATATATGAATTATTTTAGCTAAACTATCATAGTTGACATCACATAAAGATGAAATGGTGTTAAAAGTTTTACACATATTAAAGATTGGTGACTTTATCATAAGGTTTGTACGAGGAGCATCGCAGTAAAAGAGGTTGTTTTGACGGGATTCTAATCTGGGGACTGATAGGTTTAGTTTACTTAAAAGAAATGAACAATCAACATTGTGACTAATTAATTTATAAAGAAAGGATAAAACGACAACACCTCTTCTGAATCTGAGAGATTTAAGGTCAAACATATTAAGCAGTATTTTGTTGTCTGTACCTCGGGGAGGATAAGATCCATTACATTTGAAAAACATAAATTTCAGACATTTGCGTTGAACTGATTCAATGCGTGACAATGAATTTTGATATATGGGAAACCAAATAATACAGCCATACTCCAATTTACTTCTTATGAATGATATGTATAACAGTTTCAGGGTGTCAATATTCACAAAACCGCCCCAATTTCTTACTAAAAAACCTAAGGTTCTAGATGCCGATTTGACCATTTCATCGATATGATTGTTGAAAGTAAGTTTTGGGTCAAAAATAATTCCCAGATCCTTATAATTCACACAACGATCTAAAATGTTATTATCTATTTTATATTGAAAGGTAACTGTAGTGTCCTTCCTTGTATATGACATAACCTTACATTTGCCAATATTTAACTTTAGAGAATTGGCCGAGCACCAGCTAGAAATTTTATTAACTTCATTTTGCAGTAAGATACAATCCTCTATAGAACTTATCTCTAGGAAAATTTTGAGATCATCAGCAAATAGTAGGTGGTGAGAATTAATATTAGCTGTTAGGTCGTTAATAAAAATAAGAAATAAAAGGGGTCCTAAATTTGATCCTTGCGGAACTCCCGATACTGCTGTATATGATTGAGAGCGATAGCCTCCATATTCAACAAATTGATGTCTCCCAATTAAATAGGACTCAAATAAGCAAATTAAAGAGTCAGAGAAACCAATTCCTCTCAGCTTTGATAATAATAAAAAGTGATCTATTTGATCAAATGCCTTCTGTATGTCTGTGTATATAACATCAACTTGACCTTGTGAATCTAAGGATTCTGATATATACTGAGATATCGAGGCTAGGTTGGTAATTGTAGATCTTTTCTCCATGAAACCATGTTGAGAAGGCGATATTGTATTTTTAACAGACCAGTAAATGTATTCATAGAGAATAATCTCCAATAATTTGCCAAAGTTACATAATATTGCTATTGGTCTATAATTATTTAAATAAGAAGAATCACCGGATTTGAGTATGGGACATATTTTTGCAATTTTCCATATATCTGGATATTTACACGTAGTTAACGAGAGATTAAATAACAAAAGCAAGGGTTGAACAAACGCTGTAGCACAATCTTTGATTAAAAAACTAGGAACTTTATCAACGCCGGCTGTCATTTTTGTTTTTTAGTTTCTTTATGCCTTTAAGTATATCGTCCTCCGTTATATATTGCAAATTAATAAGATTTGTTGTTTAGCAATATATTCTCTTTATTATTGTTGGGGTTTGAATTGATATAAACGTCCGAAAAATAGTTTGAAAAACCGTCAACGATGGACTGAGGAGTTTCGTAAGCTTTGTCATTGTAGTGGAGAATTCCGGGTATTCTTGACTTACCCCTTTTGACATTAAGAAATGACCAAAACTTTGATGGATCTTCTCCAATTGCGTCCTCAATGCTATGAACATAATCTTTATATGCAACGTTAATTTGAGTTTTTATTAGGGATCTGAGTGACCTAAATTCGTTTAAGTAGTTTATAGTTTTGAATTTTTTATAATTTTTGCGCGCCAGTTCTTTTTTGCTGATGTTATTTTTAATCTCCCGGTTAAACCACGGTGGATAATTTCGTTTCGTATCGTTGCTCACTGGTACACATTCATCAAATACACTATTTAAGGTGTTATAAAAGCTATTGACGGCATCATCAACATTTGTAAAATCCTTTAAAAAAAGACCAATCGGTATGTAGCAACATGTTATACAATAACGGAAAGTTAGCTCGTCGAAAGTTATATCTAATATTTGTGTTACAATATACAAAATTTTTTTGATTACCGGTGATTATTTTAAAAATCGATAATAAGGGCAGGATGATAGTTATCTTCTTTTGTTAAAGGGGCATTATCTCTAATGACCTTGCATTCAACATTGGCTAAAATTAGGTCTAGCATTCTGCCATTATTATTTACAACTGTATTTTGTTGTGTTAAATTTAAAAAACTAATAAAATTATTAATTAACCCACATTTTGCGTCATTTGATGAGAGATTATATAACGGTATGTTGAAATCGCCACAAATCAAAATTTTGCAATCGACTAAAAAAGAAAACGTAAAGCCTCGAAAGCTTCTAAGAACACCTCCAGTTCACTAGCGTTAACTGACGGTGGAATATATAGAGCAAACACATATAGTACAACGTTAATGAATGATATTTTACAACCTATAATGTCTATTGCAGGTATTATATTATTTAAAAAGTCTAAGTCAAGCTTGCAAGTTTTAAAACAATTTCTTACTGCTAGCAGAACACCTCCACCCCTGGTAAGGCCTGTTGTTCGAAAAGCTCGATCACATCTAAATACTAAATAGGAGCTCGGGAGAATTTCTTGGCTAGTCACTACATCTGATAGCCATGTTTCACTTAAAAATAAAATATCGTATTCGAGAATCGATGCCATGTTATAAACGACCTCTAGCTTTGTATTGAGACCTCTAACATTCTGGTAGTAGCATCTTAATTCGGTTTCATAATTGGGTGCGTTTACGGGTTTAAATTAACAATTCTAGGTGAACCATTAACATATTTGATTTTAATATTTCTTTCTCCATTGGAAATTCTTTGATTTAAAGTGATTTTCAGTTTACGATATTGATCTATTTGTTTCGGTGTTCTGTCCAATGATATTGATACATTCTTGAATCTGTCATTATCTTTGAGGACTTTGGCATTGAGAATAATTTGATGCACTTGTTCTTCATTTTCCAACCTTACTTTGATAGGTCTGGATCTATCCGTTGAATATCGTCCCAAGCGCAGGACATTCAAATTGTTAAGATTCTGAATTGTAACGCCAGAGGAGTTAAATATATCGAGAGCAACAGATTTGTCGGCCTTAATACGATCGTCCTTATTGTTTGAATTTTGTTCAGCCACACCAAAAATAATCAAATTACACTTTCTCTTCTGCCTTTCGTTGAACTCCTGATAAACGTCTTCGAATACGTCATTTACTGCTTTATCTTCAGATGATGATTTACTGAATTCTGTGAAATCGCTTTGGAGTTTCTCGATGGAAGCTTTTACTGAAGTAATATCTTGCGAGTTATTCTTTGTAATTTTTTCTTCAAGTGCGGAAAAGCGTTTATCAAAGTCATTTCGTATGGCAGACATTAAGCTTTTAATTTCACCAAGCTCACCCATAAACTTGTTACAGGAGTTGCATATTATCTTGATGTTACGTGACTTATTGCGCGTTACCCGTACATCATCGGTAGACAAACCAACGCAGCTCAAATGAACATCGGCTCGGCATCCATCGCAATGTGTGGTGGGTAAACCTTGTTTGCTTGAATTACAGTTCGGACAGCGGCTAACACTCGACATTGTTGAAAACGATCAAAATGGGTAAAACACACACTTCGACAATCTAGATAGAGATGTGTTATCTTACCGGTGTCAAAAAAAAAAAAAAAAAAGTAGAATTTTCTGACTTGAATAACCACACACACACCCAAGTTAATTTATGTCCATGCGACACTTTATATGCAACGTTTAATTATTTAAAGAGACGATTACAGCTTACAGTTTATGGCACAGGCACTGGCTGAGTTTATAGCACTCAACAATAAATACGTTAAGAAACTGTTTGATACAAACTGTAGTAATATATGTAAAATTGATTGATTACTTTTTTATTTCATTAAATAGTGTGTCGTTTGGTGGACTAACCACACAGCACTAAATGCAACATTTTCTTTATCTATTTTTCTTTTTTTTAGGTCGGTCCTAATTATCATTTCTAGACTTGGAAAACTTAAGTTCTTCTAAATTCGAAAAACTGATATTTGAAATAAAATCTGTTTGATATAGTTGCGACGGACATTGATATATTAGAAGACGAAATAACAAAAGATGAAAACAATGGAAGTGATAAAGGTGTAACAATAATTACAATTAAAGCCAGATGAGAGAGTGAAGAAAAAATACCTTTGTCGGATTTATAAGTACAGTAACGAAAACAATTTTTACAAAGTATACAACATTCTGCACAGTACCCGCCCCATTTGTAGAAAAAACAAAGCCTGCTCTTTTAGATAACAACATAGAGGGTCCTATTGATATTTTTATTGATTTGATTACAAATGATTTAATTGACGCAGTTGTACTTCAAACAAATCTGTATTCCCTTCAAAAGATGGTGGTAACCGAAGTGCATTTGCTCCGACCGCGACGATCATTTCAGAAATGAAAATATTTCTTGAACTAAATCTTCTATGTAATAGAATTAAAACCTATGCAAATCTATCGGACCATTCATTGGTCATCGAGCAATAAACTAATATACACTTACATAAGCAGTTCCATGACAAGAAATCGCTTTAGCTGGTTACTTAGCAATCTACATCTAAATGATAATGGTGTTCAGTTCCAAAAGCAGGATAACAATTTTGACAAACTATAAAATCGTCTTCTCCTTGATAAATTATCAAAATCTTTCCTAAATTCATTCAGGCCAAATGAATATCAAGTATATGTAGATGATTCTATGATCGGGTATAAAGGAAGAAGTAGCATTGGTATATGTCAATGAAATCGTTCAAATACGGATACAAGGTCTGGATTCGATTCGAAGTAATCAAATAGGGTATGTTGTTTCGTGGTCGAGTGGTAAGGACACAAGTATCTCACACTGAAGTCCCGGGTTCGATTCCCGGTCAAGGAGCTGGGATAGTTTTTAAACCAGAAATTAATCTTATCATACTGGGACTTTGGGTGTGTGTCCATTGTCTCTAAATGTGTAGCCCTCTCCCACACAAGGTACTTGAGGTACCTTCAAGGATTGTATTACCTGTGGTGGTGGTGGTGGTGGTGGTGGTGGTGTTATGCATCATAGTTTCAGATATTGTATACCGGTAAAGTAGGTTACAGAAAAGTGTTTATGGCAAAGGGTTGTAATACACTTATAGAGAAATTTAATTGACAAAAATTATGAATTGTTTTTTAGTACAGCTGTAAAAGGACCTACTTTTGGATAAAGTTTATGCATGTGGATCTGCAAAAAAAAAATCAAAAACATGCCAACCGGTTTACGTGACAAGAAGCTTCTTAAACGAGGTGATTCAGATTACCGAATTTCCACAGACGGAATTATTGCCCTCAAGTGGATGGGCAGAAAAAGTGTGTTATTCATCTCTAATTTTAATAATCCCGCCAACTTAGAAACAGCCTCTATAAGACAAAAATAGGACTCTAAGGCCCGATTTTTCAATGATGGGTTAGCAAAATTATTAACCATTTTGAGAAGCGTAAAGTGAGGAGAGTCGAAACGCAGTCTATTACTGCATATTCAAAAGCAGCTGATACAAGGTGTATACAAATATAGTTTGTATAAAAAAATATGTTTGTTTTACATTGTCGCTGTCGCCCTGATATCTTGCTCTATTTGTTGTTTTTAGTATTGACTGGGATGAATACCAAAAAAAGCCTATTGAAATTGGACATGACTGAACTGCAGCTTTCAAAGTCAGAGTAAGATTAACGATAATAAAATTCAAAATTTCAAAATAATTCAATAATCATTATAAAAACCCTGTCACCTTTAACTTCAGTTAATGTAACTAAGATGCAAAATCAAAATTAACTCGTGGCAGGCGTTTTATCTCTCTCGATTTATCAAGTGTATTTCTTTTGAAGTAAAAAATATTTAAATAATTCCCATTAAAACTTCTATGAGACACAGAGCGCACAAGTTGTAATTACTTTTGAAAAAGTAATAAATTTAACACAAGCCCGTCCTTTATAAATTTAATATATTTAAACATTCATAGAATTTTTTATAAGGTCGTTGTTAGTTGAATAAAGCTGAGTAAAGCGGTCTGTTAAAAATAATTGTAAAGAGTACAACCAAAAGATAATTACAATAAAATTATATGTGTAATTAAGGGTAAAACCGCTTTTGCTGCCTTGTCAGTAATAAACTACCCATATAAAATTATATCACATCCTTATTATACAGAGAGGGAATACTTAAATACATAAACACGTAGCGATGTTTCTGCTACCATTGGCTACAGACCCATTAACAACTTTCAAAAGTTAGAGTTACTAAAATATACAAGCAAGGATTTTACCGGCTATCTGCCTTGAATTCAAATTAGGTCGAATGACTAACACAACCACTTTCTTTCTTACTGAAACTGGTGATTTAGATTATGCAATTTGTAGTCGTTTACGAATATTGTTAAGGATGTGTAAGAAACCCTTTATCGCATGACTTTTTCTTTTCCTTTGAAAAAAAATATTTGTACTGTAGAATTAGTTAAGGAACACATAAAAAATAGTTAAAAATTCATTGTGAATATTTTGAATTTTTTTTTTGAAAAACCTAGTGTAATAAATTTACAACACCATACATTAATGAACACATTTATTGTGGAATAAGTAGCTAATGTAAACATTTATTTTTGTACATGAAATTCCTTAAAACAATTTCTCTTCTTAGAGTAACATAGTGCAACACCACATTTTTCACATATTGTCTGAGTGTAGCCTTTACAACTGGGATATTTACAACGTATTTGTTTTTCAGCCCAAGGAGGCCAATGGCCAAATTCATCAAGTCGAACTTGTTTTACTGGGGCATGTTGTGCAGCTCCCTTCTTTTTTTTTATTTGAAGCATCTCTTCTACTGTTGGTAAGCTAGGAGGTCTGCCACGTTTTGTACCTGTTCTGCTATGACCCACTTGACATAATGCTTGTGCTAAATCACTTTTAAATTTGGATAATGTCATATATTTATCATTATTTTTTTTGTTTTTCTGAACGTCTGTATAGAAGCCAGCTATTTGCTATAATCAGATCTAAAAGATGGTAAAATACTCTCATATACCATTTTTTACTACGTATGAGAATTTTACAGCGACCCAATATACTGTCTAAAAGATCCACACCACCCATGTGACGATTGTATTCTTTGATTATGTAGGGACAACTAACTAGCACTTTTTCTCTCTTCTTTTTGTCGAAGTGGCTAACGTTGTCGGAAGGATTTATGTCAGCAAAAGTGGATAAAAGTGTCACAATTTTATTGTCCTTCCAAACTACCGAAGATATTTCCACACCATCTACCACTCCTACAAATTCTTTACTGGTGCCTCTAGCTTTTTCTTTCAGAGCCTTTTCATCGGGCAGCTTACAATTAGGGATACGATTTCTACGTACAGTTCCTAAACTGTAGATACCCTGCTGTGACAGATATACTAATAATGGAATCGCTGTATAATAATTATCAAAATAGATTCTATGATTCATATTTTTTGGCACAACCCGGTAGAGCCTTACTACAACGTTCGAAGATGCTCCTAAATCAGGTTCATTATCAAGCATGTTGATTTTATCATTTTCCTGACCCGAATATAGTTCTAAATATAGGCAAAGCCTGAAACCCCACATAAAACAAAAAATTTAAAACCCCATTTATGGAGTTTTTTGGGTAAATACTGCCTCATGTAATGCCTGGCTTTAGTTGAACATATTTGTTCGTCTATAGAGAGACAATGTTCGAGAGGAATTGACCTAAAATTTTTATTGAGACTGTCAATAAAGGGTCTAATTTTATGTAACCTATCATAGCCTGGATTATTTCGGGGAATCATTGTTTCGTTATTATTGAAATGCAGGAATTGACGAATTTTTTCATAACTGTTACAGGTGATAGTGTTTTTAACTTTATCAAAACCGAGTTCTTCTGACCAAAAAGAACGAACATTTGGCAAATGAACCAACGACATATATATTGTGACACCAATATATTGTCTGATTTCTGTTGCAGTGATATTTAGTGGTTTATTAGGATCTTTTTGTATCGAAAACAAATTAGTTTCATCTACTATTCTGTGCAAGATTTCATCGGTGAAAAAATAATTAAAAAAATTCATACGGACCATCAAGTTCTAGGATATTAGTTGGTAGTGAAGGATCTCCATGAAATTGAAGTTGCTGCTGATTTAGAAGTAGTTTTGTTTCCTTCCATGTAATTTTACTAACTGAAAGATACATATACATATAAGCATACATTTTCCAGTAGTCTGAAATAAATTACCTTTTTTCTTTTTCTCCTTTATCCCCTCATTGCTGCACCTGGGTTTGTTATTCTGTTGGTTCTTATGATCTGCACTAGTACTTGGTAAATTGTCTTCAGATGCAGGTTCATCATTGCTTTCATTCTCAACAAGTTCTTCATATTCTTCATCAGGATCTGAATATAAATCTTCTATAATGTCCGATTCCGGGTCCGCCTCAATGTGTGGTAAATAGTTGGGATCGGCCACACTATCATCATCACTAAAATCGAAACCATCCTCGCTATCCGTTAAGTTATTCACAATTTCTTCTAATTGTTTATCACTAAGATAAACTTTATGAGACATCTAAAAAAAAATTTCTTGAATGCATGGTGTTGTAAATAAATGACAACGGTAAATTGGACCATTTGTTTCCTTTTTAGAGTAATAAATACATGGTATTATCTAAAAACATGTTATACTAACCTTACTTGACGATTTTCTAATTTTTATTTGCTGAAATTACCAGTTCTTGAGAAAAATTACCGACCTCTAAGATTTGTGAACAGGTCGTGACATCTAGTGTATAACCTACCTACTAGATAACATCAGACAAGTATGTAGTAAATAATAATAATAATAATAATAATAATAATAAGTTTATTTACCATATAAAGTGGGCTTGTACAAAACAAAGTAGGACTAAAAACTAAAGTTTTACATTCTCATTTAAGTGTACAAATAATTGTTTAAGAAACCTAGTCTCTAATACATAATAAATAAACTAAGAGAAACACAAAAGTAAACTAATTTACTTGTCTGTGCATACCCTTGGGTATATAATACTCAAGGGAAAAGTGAATATGTATATTTTTAATGTGTTGTAATATATTATAAAATTGTATGTTTTGTTAATTTAATTAATTTTGTTTATCTATGATTATTTTAATTATACAAGTATATTTTGATTTATAATATTGTATATGAAAAATATACAACATGATGCGGAATCTGATTTATAAAATTCAGTGATAATTTCATTGCCTTTATCAGTTTGTTGTAAATTTACGACACCATGCGATAAAGGGTTAAAGGGTGAGGCAGATCACTATTTGATGTGGAAATTCAGACAAATTGCACATTGTTGAATGAAGCGAATACGCATATTTTAAGATTTATGTTTACCTAAATATGTTATTATAATTATTTACGTAACAAGACCGAAAAGTGATTCATTACTGGGCGAGTTGGAAGCCGGCGAGCCCGGTAAACACACTTTCCCGGTGTGTTGCGTACAATAATTTTCTTCAACCGTCTCAAAAAACTTTTTAACTTTAAAAAATTCATCTAACAGATGTGAGATGCCTACTTTCGAAGAAGACTGGATTAATCACTTTTAATTGTTAACAGATACTGTTTTGTCAACCAAATGTGACGTAAGCGATCGGTAAAGATTTTACAAATTCCTGATGTCACTTTATCAAGATAGACTAGTAAAGATGTATCTTCCACTTAAGAAATTCACCAAAAAGAGTTAACTTTCTAGACAGTTGTAGAAAAAATAGCTACATGTACTTATATTTAAGCAACAATTACATAGTTCACTTGACTAACTGCTCAGAAGTTGTACAATAAAATTGTACCAAATTCATTCATTATTATACATTAA